TATCGATTGTAAATTAAGCCCAATTTACATATGATCAGGACAGCTTCAATCGCCTGTTGTGAATGCTTCGGGCAAAAGTGACTGTAGACGCTACAGTTCTTGCAATGCACGAATGCTGTCTTGATGCCAGTAGTTTTATCGCCAAGACCTGTGTTTGCTTTCGTCGAACTGTTGTTAGCAGCTTTATGAACCAATGTCCAGTAGGTTTTCAGTGTCGTGCAAAAAGGCACGGTAAGTATGTGATAGGTATGCAGTAAACTAATGCGTTAGAACTCTCCAATATCGTCCTACCTTGTCCTCATTCTAGCTTGGGTGTAGATTCAAAATGTACAGCGAGTTGTGACTTTTAACAAAAGCAACTGGAACTATGATTCACGCCTGCATGGAAACCACGCAAGCTTTTGTGAACCAAGTAAAACTGACGTTAGATCGAATGGAGACGACAGATTATATAAATGACCAATAACCAGTTAATGGTCGTTTTGCACGGATTAGTTGTTGAGACTACAATCGGGTCGATTAGCGGACAATCGGCCGTTTATAAAAATAATGGTAAAATACCTGCAGGATCAAGACTAGGGTTTAATTAGTCTACGATAGTTCACCCAGTTACTGAAGTGTCTAACGTGCGCGTAGATGGTCGCAGAATGAAAGATGGACCCCTTACTTACAGAACATACCTAGATGGAAAAGGGAGATCGTATTAATCAGACGATTGATGATACCAACGTATGTGTGTGTGTGTGAGAGAGAGAGGGCAAGTCAAAGCGTACATACCGATTGCTTCCAAGTCACTCATTTTCTGTCTCGCCCAAATATTGTGCGCATTGTCAGCCAGAATTTCAGCCAGATTGAGCATCTCCTTGGACACGTTCACTCCGCGTAAATCACGCGGAGCCGGACTATAGGTATCAGCCTGTACGGTGGGGATAATGAAAAGTGTCATCGTAACGATTGAACGACGGGATCCAGTTCATCTACTAGTTATTTATTAACATCAGCGTTTACCAGGAGACTGTAGCACCAATGCAGCACAACCACTCAGCAGAGTATGAATAGAAACCAACTGGATTAAATAACCTAGAAGTGAATCCTCATCATTTGAAAATAGAAGAGAAAAGAGGTCGAGAAAATTTAATACACGAACTCTTCAAGATCCGTCATTATCAGACCGGCAAGGCCAAGGTGCTTAAACGTTGTAGGTACTCTGCGACCCCACACAAGTAAAGCGAATACCTGTGAGTAACATTTCATGTGGCAGGGAACCTCTTAATGATTTCAACAGTCCTGTTTCGTCCATCTTCCGTACTTTACAAAAGAACAAAAACAGCCAAGTAACTCGGTCGGATTACTCGTCGCATTTCACAGCTTTTCCAGTGGGAAATTAGATGGAACATGAGTCAAATATGGTTCGGAATTCCCACCTTACCTCACAACTGCTCGAAACATTACTTTCGCTACACTCCGTATGCTTTCAAGTCATTAATGTATACAGATTTACTGCCACTGGGTTATGATCGACCGTATTAATATATGTACACAACAACGGGAATAGGAAAGAATCGTGTTCACATACGCTAGTTGTCATTTGTGAAATCAAACAGCGGAGCTCTGCACAGTTTGCACAGAGCATATTTCGATTTGCACTTCATGGATTAGCATGAAGCGGAAGACTAAGGGTGTCAGTTTTACTCGACGGTAAACTCACAGTAATTGTCTGCCTTCGGATTTGTTGGCTATCCATAGATGTCTCATGATGACGCGCGTCGTCTGCATCAATGGACCAGCCGAGTGCAAGCATCGCTTTCAGAGTATCGGTGACTGGATGAATATAACGCACTTGTTCCTGTAGCAAAAGAATATGCAGCAGGACGGATGATCAGATATTCATCGACGAACCAGTGTTAACAAGAAAATAACCACCAGAGACAAATACCTACCGGTGCTAATAAAATTTACTACACATTATGATGGAGACGTGGTCATTATCAAGGTAATGTGTGTTCAAGAGATTGTTTCTTCTGTGTATCAAACTATCGTTTATATATTGTTCATGTTAGTACATTTTGAGAAATACGGATCCCTGGATTGGAGCTGAAGCCGCCCGTTAACAGTTCCCATTTCGATGGCAAAAGCGTTGGAGGTCAGTGGGCGTGAATGAGAACAGGCGAATTAGCGAAAGGTTTGAATGCAGAACCCTGACGTTAATCGAAAATTAACTGAGACACAAGTGGAACACATGTCGTGCATAAATTGCCCCGCATTCGACCTCTCTACAAGTGTTGTGTTATTGAAACGACAAGTGTAAAATTTCTGGAAAGGATAACTAGCAAGAGACATTGTGTCCAGACAAAAAGTATGGACTGGAAACATATCTTGGAAGAATAGCTTGTTGACCAAAACTGATTTGAAAACAAATGAAGGATCACCACACAATTAGGTAGTCAAATTTGCGCACTTCAGTGAGTTATTATTATTGTTATTATTATTATTATTATTATTATTATTATTATTGCAGGACAGCAGAAACGTCTACGCGTGTATGCTCACTAAACCCCATCCTGCCGTTAATTTACCACGAATGTAGTTCGGTCAGCTTACGTGTTGGGGTAAATTGTTGAAGCTACACAGATTGGGATGAGTTCGTTTGCCCTCATCCACAACTGGTCCGTAGGTGTAACCCTGTTCGATTAATTCCAGTGCCCAAGAATCGTGACAGTGCTGGGCAAATCGGTCGACAAGAGTGTGTAATGTATTTGGCAGGCGGACCTAAATGAGAGAAAAACAGATACGTTTGATAAACGACATAATAACTGGAATAAAAGACAAGAATAAACACAAGATCAGATGTTGACTAAAGGGTACATTCGGCTATTGTGTACAGACAGGTTGTTTGGTCACGTAAAGTTGCACATGTACAAGGTCAGAGAGGGCAATGAAACAGAATTACCAACGTGAATGTATTGAAATTTTCATCCGCTTTTTAATGTATGATAAGCGACGCGCAAAACTATATTACCTCACTACTGAACTACTGGTCTGTTGAGTGTTTATTATAGGGGCTTGACAACAACGTTATTTGTTTTACTCAACAGAAAGCGTATGCCATTTTATGTCGCGTCGATCTGTGTCAATGACTGGACGCGACATTGAAGTGATGGAAAATGGAATACTGGGTGCAAATAGATCCTTTGAACAGGTAGTAGAAATGAACCAAAAATCAGCGTCACATGAATGAGGATGGATAAAATCGAACAATTTACTAGTCTGCGTTATGAAGAATCTCTGGCATACAATCCACTAACCTGTGTTGTATCAACCGGCTTTGGAATGAAGACGTCGTGATGTGTCTCCTCCTGTTGATCGACTCCATCCATCCTTGGGCCGCCCGGAGCCAAAAGCGAATCTGATTGAGAAATATGTTAAAAAAATGGACCACTATACCGAAAAGCATTATTTTTTGAGACAACAAAATATCACCGCATACAAACGACGTGTGTTGGCCCGATCTCAGTCGCCTACAGTCTCAGCTAAGTACCATAAGAAATGTGTGCAAAATAAGTGGAGTAATTCCGACTACAAATATGATACCAATCCAAAACTAAGAACAAGTATGGGGTCGCAAACCAATGAAACACTAGGTTTACGGTATTCCTCACCACGACAGCATTAACTGGAAATCTGCATGTGCATATGCGATTTTCAGAAGTATCGCCTTAAAGGCGAAATCTATTTGCTCCTCTCAGAAATCTCAAAAGTCGTGTAGGGAGGAGCCATCGCCTGAAAATGGGTATTTTACACATTCTTGCGTCAGTGACTGGCGAACAATTTTAATGCAGAACGTTGGCCCCTGGAAATGTCAGAAAAAGTGACAGCCTTGATGTTTAGAATGCTATTGGTGTTGCTTCTGACTTCAGTTGTCTCTTAAGTGAATGCAGTTAACGAAATGGGGCTGTGAAGGCCACAAGGCCGTCAGGTCTTACATATGCTGCTTTATTTGCACTAACAACTAATCTGCTTGTTTGTAAGAAGGAGGCACCTTGTGATGAACGTTTGAGCATAGTCAAAACGCTTTTACATATTACGCTCCACTCCTCCCATTCAATATATCTTCAAACCGAGAATTGTTTTTTCTAGCTTCCTGCTTGTACAATTGGTAAATATCAATGTCAGCTACTGATATAATACTGACTAGGATGACGATGACAGTAACGTGGTAGTATCACCGTTGCTGTCTGCATTATCTGTGACGTACTGTGCACATTCGGTGGGTGGAAGTACTTTTGTATATCTAGGTATTAATTAGATATACATTGGGGATACCGATGTCATGCTAATCACCGGTTAGTTTCGATGGTCAAGAAGTGTATGCAGGAAAGCCAAAGAAAGAAGCTCAGAGCAACTGCAGTGCGAGCAGGTAAGCGAAACCGTAACCACGGTGATGGTCCGCCAAGTATTCATATTCAAATTGTAGTATTCAAACAGACTGAATGGAAGACTATGATTTAAATGGGCATCCAAATATCTGTGGGCGACAACTCCGCAGCCGAAAAAGCAAGTCTGTGGTACTCAAGAGAAGTAATGAGCTGTTGATTGGCTTGACGTGACTACTTAGCGCTGCGGCGAATGAAGTCGTGACTACGCTGGCCGCTTCGAACCGTTCGGACCTGGTTTTAGGCAATATATAGCACGAGCGTATTTCTGACCGCACACTGAACAAAACGCACACAATTAAATTCACTTTTCTCAGCGTGGTAGTTTTGACAACTGTTCACTCTACTTGATAATTTGATTGCGTCTGTTTTTAAGCTCTATTCTATTAACTGATATTGTTCAGTGAGGCAAGATCTATGTTACTGATGAGTAGTTTGGCAGATTTGACAAAATTATCAAATCCTGCTTGAGCAGTCAATCGGCTTGATCATTTGGTGGATTCCATATGACAAAGTTGGTTGGGTGGGTAATTAGGTCCAAATGTGAAATTTCTGAGCTTCCAGCGTGGCTTCGCAGCTCAGCTGGTAGAGCATTTGCCGCGTATGAACATGAGGTGTCTGTCGCTGGTTCGAATGCAGCCGAAGTCCACATTTTTCGTAGTTGGCTCTATTGTAAATGGTCTATGGTGTCCAACTCGCACACTGTTCACCACGCGCGCGATCGTGTTTATGAACCGGAATTCCAGTTCACAACGTAGCGGCGGTTTTAGTTCACATTTCACGTGCACTTCTGCCAGGTTTGTATGTGGCTGACGCTTTTTGTCGTGGGTTTTGTATTTGTTATTTCTTATCCGTTTGTCTGATTTCGTTGAGCGATGGCTCGTCCGGTCGCTCGTGTTACCAGCATTCAAATCTTCGTGGGTTTTTGCTATACCTCACCACCGCGTTGAGGCATCCCACCGAGTGTTCGAATAATCGCGTCTCCGATTTAGTTATTCATCACAATATGTGATCAACCGAATTTCGCTAATAGAGAGCTTCTTGTACAAGCCGTTCCCCTTTTATTTTGCCCGTGCGGGGGCGAATGGGTTAACGTTTGCAAGTTGCAAATTTCTTTCTTATAAACGTCATAGGGACAACATACATGGTAAGAACAAGAACAACGCGAATACAAGAAACCTTCTACTGGAATTCAATGATACACAATTGAAGGAGCATTTTAGTTTTAAAAAAGAGAAGCAACATGTTATTCTTTCTTGATGCAACAAGACGTTACAAAACGAACAAACCCATTCAGGTAACACTTCATTAGAAAGAGACGTAATATCCATTTTCAAAATTTTTGCTATTCTGATAGAGAAGGGAATACTTAATTGCTACTCAAATGAGAGAGATAATGAAAACAAGGAATGACAACAAACCGAATGTGTTTGTTATCAAAATAGATATTCGAGAAAGTGTTCAAATAAGTTCGGAAATAAACTGTTCAGTCGGTGACGGAAACGATGAAGATAAAGATTTCCATCAGTCTGGTCAATAAAGACGAAACAACCACAAAAGTGAATAGTCGTAGGTTGACAAATACGATGAGTTGCGCGGACGACTTCATCTAGCGATCAACTGTAATGAGATTGGACTGGAGCGATTTTTTGTGTAGAGAAGTTCCAGTCAATCAGTGTTCGCGCACAAGCTGCTACAGGGGTAATTATGATAACAGTGCTGCCAACCAATCATAGACGGTGATCAGTTATTGTTGAATGCGTATGTGTTTCAAACAACCGAGTTGTTAAATGCAAGATCGCGAATCAACTCAGCAATAAACTGACCAATCAGAACGTGAGAACGTCTGTGACTCAATAGCAATCCTAAATACTGCCGTTCCTCTATAAAAAAAGCTATTTTTTTAATAAACTGAGATCGCTTAGTGCCGCTCAGATTCATGTTCTGATTTCCTCTTCATTGGGTAATTCACTAAGTGACACCAACCGGTATGGGTGCCACATCTAAAAGATAGTATGTCCTCCTTTCTTCTTTCGTCATTCTGTGTTTACCTTTTCATCTGTCGTTGTTAAGAAAGCGACTCGGCTACTGACGGAAAACATCCGTCATCAACCTCAAAAGCAGTTTTGTGACTGTAGGAAAAAATCCACATCCAGTGCTATCACATCGCATTTCATCGACATGGATCATCAAATGGTAATTGATGGAATCTTCAAAGTCATCTACCAGATGTGTCGCATCCAGTCCCGATTCATTCGAATGAGGATATTCTCGACAGCAGGAATGATTACAGTCAAGCTGTGCAACCTCAGGTGTGTATGAGAAAGGAATTCACATATACAAACATGCTAAAACTACTGGAACCCCAGTCAATACTTAACTAATAAGCTACCCCTGGTCGATCACATCTTATCTAAACGCTGCGTACATTTACGGACAAGCAAACATCACTAACCGATTAGATTGCATTTCCCTAGGCTGCAAACACTTCGTATGATTCAATTTCAGTTTTACACATAAATCGACTGAACCTCTCATAATTATATATCCTGATAAGAATAACCGAAAACATATGTTTGTAACCTTATCTTTTCGTGAACTCCAGATTAAACGATACAGTTGGACTAAAGGGAACGCCCGACTATTCGTCAATTATTAAATGCCCTCCTTTATCTATTAATCTTAAACTGATGATCTTGTAAACAGTATGAAGGTAACAGCGAGACAGGTAGATTTTAACCGGAAAGCGATGCAATCCACCTTTCACAGAACAATGTATTGAGATCGTAGTAATGGGTAAGTATGTTCAAAGATGAAATAATGAGGAACATTTCTGGTTGAAATTGCACAAATTCGTATTAACCGTCTGGTGTATTGGTTATTGAAAACTGTAAGCCACATCTGTACCGATAAATGATACTCGTTCATGTTCCAATCTATGGAACCCATGGTTGATTCTACGTGTGTTGTCCGCGTTTTTCATAACATCGAAAACAAAAATAATATACAAAATGTCACCGACATACCAATTGCTGCGGAGAAGGCACTGAACCCGCTTTCTTCCGCATCCTGGCCCAACGCAGCCCGCGGATCGTTGGCGTTCAGGCGACTGATCGAATAATCTGGTGGGAGAGCGCAACCGATGGCGCAGAGACATGGTAGAGCGTAGGAAAACAAAACCGGTTCATATGGTTGTCTAGACAGATTGTCGAAAATTATAATAAATAACTGGGCTGTCAAATTTCGTTCCTCCTCTGTGGCAACGGACTCGCCACCAGACCCGGCTCCACGATTTGCTCCGCCACTCACCGAGTCTCCGACAGATTGCTTGCTAGCCTCTTGCTCACCACCAGTGCCAGCTGCTCGAGTGGAACCGCTTTCATCTGTCCATCCGTCCGATGTATAGTAGGTGCCACAACGTTGATAGAACTCAGTGAGCACGCGCAAAGATACCACAGACTGTGACGGAAGAGAACAGCAAACAACAAAGCTTCTCAAGTGACCGCAATATGACCAATAAAAAAAATTGGGGGTAATTCAGTGCCATCAACTTAGTGAGGTTCATTAACTTGAAACACTTGAATTCCTTCAACAACCTCAACAGAATACAATGGGCGAACAGTACACAGCATTAGAGGCAGAATAGACAAACAAACTGCGCTGCTGATTTTACAGAACCTTGGTGTTTTGAACTAAGCGCAACTGTGCAACCGCATACGTACCAGATAGAGAAGACCTCACTCTGCATTTGATACCATTTGCCGAAATGATGTTTTTGAATTGTAAACAAAGAAGGATATATCGCTTTTGAGCAGTTTGGGCTGGCTCTTTGTACTTGTACATTTTGGTATAAGACCTTTTATTTTTCAGGAGAGCGGCTTGCTGGCAACGTTTTTATTGACATCGCCTATTCTCTCTGCGGTTTATCACGTGTGTAAATAAGCCTGGCTCTGGAAAGCAGGGTCTTCTCCAAAACATGTGTATGCTAACGGGATAGAACTGGAGGACTGAAGATGTCATACGCTACACGTTGCTTTACAGTGGACAAAACACTGTAATGTTTCATTCTTACACCTGGCTAGACTGCCACTGGATTCAAGTTCGTGAGACAACAAAAAATTCAACTGGATAGCGTCAAGAAAGTTAAAAAAGCAACCAAACATCGACAATAGTATGAACGAAATATCATGAATCCACTCTCTGTAAAACACCGCATTGGAAATATTATCTGCGACCCGCTGTTTAGCATTCAAAAGAAGCTCTTCAGTATCCTCATCAAAGGCAGCAATACATCAGTAATCCCCGCTGATGCCTTAACTGCCACACAGCTATTAAGAAAAAACCAAACCGTGGCTGAAAAATAAAAAGAAAGAGGATAAAGAGGACCTAACTACTAAAAACAATCAGGCCGACAATCATTCAGCACCAGGGGATACACCGAGCAAAAACAGCCGAGATATAAGTGAAAGTAAGGCAATATCAGCAAGACTACTTTTCCACGACTTTCCCTGCCCTGCATCATTAAGTGCACTTAATCCACAGACGGCTCAGTCAAACAACGTCAACATTCACGTCACTGAGACCGACTAGCCGCTATCACATCCAGCGTCTCCAGCCACTGACTCTGTAAGTCGAGAGAGCCCCAGACAGTGACTACATTTCTCTACGTCAAATTATTATCTATTCATCTCATGTCACATGCCAGTCGGTCTTGCTATCAATAAACTTTGTTCGGTGTGGCAGATGACCAACTGGCGTCCTTAGTACGTTGTCTAACTATCCAAGTCTGCGTAAATTCAGAGATTGAACAAAAGAAATTTCATGCCACCAGCTAACAAAATAACCGCTGTGCAGTTCTTTTGTTGTCCACAAGTTGGCACATACGATTAATTAGATCGATTTACTCATTTAAGGTAGTTTACACGCAAGAGTGTGCTGAACAAATATGTGAACATTATTCCAGCGCTTTGTTCATATATTTCAGCTCAGGTTTGGATTTACGATGAAGCGTCTAACAGTTTAGCACCAGCAACTGCGTACGTCAAGGCTGTCCACTTCCACCGTTTATGTTTAATCTCCTCATTGATGAAATAACGCAGAACTGTCTGCGACACTTACGAAACGTTAGCGAAGACCTTAGACATGGTTGAAGACTAATGGTTAATGATTATGCTAGCGACAAGGTTTTGTTGTTCGACAGTTTTGAAGCAGCACAACCGATGTTAGAAGCCATTTCACGTCCCGATAAATACTATGGACTGCACTTTGCAACCTTAAAATGCGAAGCGCTTTTACAAGACTGCTTTGTTTATGCAGACTTAATGCTGGATAATGAAGTTATGGAGGTTGTCCGGTCAATATACTACTTGAGATGCTGTATCAGCAGCAGCGGCAGAGGCTACTGTAAGAGATGTGCTACCCAACAACTTTATAAACTTACCGGTAGGAACAGAAAAGGTGAACCGTCTTCAGATATTTGATTATCGATCTCTGTGTTCGATCGCCTTTATGAATATATCGGCTAATGTTTGGTCGATCAGACTACTCAATGTGTGTCGTCTTTCCGCTCTAACGAAGTAGTTTAGTAATGCCAGGCCAATAATCGATTACATTTATTAAGTTAATGCGTACAACATGTGGTCAGTCAT